AAGCAGTGGTATCAACGCAGAGTACTGGTACCCTCCAAAGTGAAGGGGGTCTCGGCTGTTTTTGACCCTCAAAAGTGAAGGGGGTCCAAAAATTGCCGACGTCGACCGGGGGGGGGGTAGAACTGAAAAAAAATAAATCTTCGATTTTTTAACTTTAATTTTTTTGAATTTTAATTTTGGCAATTTTCCAGTTTTTTTGATTTTGAATTTTCTAAATCCATTTGTGTAAATTTTAACATAGTTAGTAAAATGTTTTCAAATACTTTTTTTTGATAAATATCATTTCATTCTCATGTACCATAATGCGGGAAACGAAGCAAAAATCGAGACCGGACCCCCCTCACTGAGACGAAGCAGGTGCTGAGGTGAGAAAATACTTAGTTCAAAGTTGAGATATCGTATTTGAGAAATCCAATCTTAAGAATTTCATGGGACGAGCGGTAATGAGTCGGATGGAAGGGCGCATGGTCATGAAACGAATGGCCGGGCGTGTTGTACGAGACCGGAAAAAGACACTTTGGCTATAAATTAAATAATTTGCCATTGTATTGTGTGTATAAGGATAAATTAAATAATTTGCCATTGTACTGTGTGTATAAGGATAAACTATAAATGGAAATGTTTTACGCAATCAAAGATGTGGATAGTGAGTGAGGTTTGGTTGAGGCAGGTTTGAGTTGCGCACTATACCCCCCTTCGAGCCAAAAAAATTCCATTCTCGGAAGGGGGGTCCTCTCATAATCTGTTTTCTTTTTTATCTTGTCGAGGAGAGTGTACTGGATATAACTAGGGCTGTCGCAAAAGAATCTGCTGAAGCAGACTTTCTTGAGCTTGAATTTCACAGAAAAATCTACCGTCTTCAACTCGGTACTGTTGCTCTCCTTCCTTACAGCAAATCCTTTTGCGACAGCCCTAGTTATATCCAGTACACTCTCCTCGACAAGATAAAAAAGAAAACAGATTATGAGAGGACCCCCCTTCCGAGAATGGAATTTTTTTGGCTCGAAGGGGGGTATAGTGCGCAACTCAAACCTGCCTCAACCAAACCTCACTCACTATCTACATCTTTGATTGCGTACAACATTTCCAATTATCGTTTATCCTTATACACACAATACAATGGCAAATTATTTAATTTATAGCCACAGTACAACCACAAAATGTCTTTTTCCGAGTCTCGTACAACACGTCCGGCCATTCGTTTCATGACAATGCGCCCTTCCATCCGACTCATTACCGCTCGTCCCATGAAATTCTTAAAATTGGATTTCTCAAATACGATACCTCAACTTTAAACTAAGTATTTTCTCACCTCAGCACCTGCTTCGTCTCAGTGAGGGGGGGGGGGCGGCCCGATTTTTGCTTCGTTTCCCGCATTCTCGTTCCCTACCTGTAAATAAATTGTTTTACCGATTCCACTCCATTTCAAGCACACTATCATCTCACCTCAGTAATTTTTTTTTCCTCCGTCCAAGATGAAGGGGGGGGGGGGGTAGCCCAGGCTCCAAAGTGAAGGGAGGGTGAGATTCATCTCAACCCTTCGCACCTATGTTTACAAGTAATCATTTGCACATTTTTAACTCATGTAAGTACCTTTCAAGAAGATTCGCGGCCTAGTCTCGGAGAATAGGAGGAGGGACGCCCCTTTGCTTCGGTTTGCCCTGGTGACGGGTAATATTTGGGCGAAGCATGCACGGTGAGCACCAGAGAAAGCTACAGTCGTAAAATTAAAATTGAAAATTTGTAAAAAAGCGTAAAACTTGACCCACTTCAGAGATTTTTATTATAGCTATAGAACTTGATTTCATCCACGAAAAAGCACTGCAACCTTCCAGATGGTCTTAATACATTTTAGGCCGTTTGCGCACTTGAATTTGCAGACGTGGGTGACTCCTCGTCTTTCGTGCACTCTCGCCGCTTCTTTCTTTGCGCTCTCTTAGGGTGCCTTCATACCGCGCCGGCAACCGCCGCTAGCCGTCTTTAGCCGCTTCTGCATACTGTCCTAGTATTCCGAGGCCTTTATAAAACGTCAGAAGATTAGCTGATTGTAATCAGAATGCCGAATAAAGCCACTGAACCAAATTTGAGCAAGATTCGTGGTTTCGAAATTGAGGGCCTGGATACTGAAAAAGTGCGCAGAGACAGCTAGCGGCGGCTGCCGGCGCGGTATGAAGGCACCCTTAGCCATGAACTGTTTTCGAGGGATGCAACAGAGCCGCTTTCGGCCCAAACCGGACGGGCTACAGCTATACAGAGTGCCCCAAGAAAGTGTGCACTCGCTCGTTTTCCCGCACTCCAAAATCTTTTGCAGATCTTCACATATCATCTAGAGCTTGATCGACACTTTATAGTTTAGAGCAAGTTACCGATCGCTTTTACTGTAGAATTACGGGGAAGCTTATAACGTACAATGCCATTGTGATATAGGTCGCTCAAGATTCCAAAAAAATGTTCTAGAAAACCGCGCATCAGGGCTTTCATGCTGGTTTCGTAACATAACTTTTACAAGTTTCCTGAGCTTTCTTAGCTGTGTGATCACATTTCTGGATGCATTGAAGAAGCAATTGCTCTAACTTATGGAAGAAACATGTCTGTAATCTGCAAGTTTCATAATTGAAAGGCGATTTCTCAGCCCAGCATAAGAGTTTTTGGTTTGTGTGATTTTCTTTCTGGGCAAATGCAACTTTCAATGCCTAAGGTAAGCAAGGGTAAGCAAAGGTAAGCAAAATTTTTCGGTAAGCAAACTTTGAAACATACCTACGACTCTTAATGCTAAACGGTTGAACGCTCCACGTAAGCATACGATTTTGTTCTTTTGTTCTCCTTAGGCCTCGGACAGAGTTCAGATTTGATTCGCGATTCAATCGCGACAAGACAACAGTTACGAGTTGTATGCCGATCAGCTTGCATTTCGGTTGTGATACTTTTCCAGCTCGAAATTTTTGAATGTAAAATGAAAATGAATGGAAATCGCGGCGATTGAATCGCGACGATCAAATCGCGTGAACTCTGTCCGAGGCCTTACGCTATCCAGATCACTGGAACAAGTTCAGTTCTCAGCATATATTCGATTACTTTAAGTTTAGCACCTCTTTGTCCTCACTCTGTTTTGTTTCTACAAGTATAAGCTCCTGCAAGACGAAGGCGGTTGGTTCGATGCGTGACGTGGTTGTACGCGGCTGTGACGCGGCTGTGACGCAGCTGTGTCGCAGCCGCGTTGCACATCGAACCGACCGCCTTCGTCTTGCAGGAGCTTATAACCTAAGTTTAAAACGGCCTTTATGCGGCGGGCTCCAAGATGATTTGAGGGAAACATAGAAGATGGACTAGTCTCCCTGTCACGAGGAACCAAAGTCTGACTTTCACTGTGTCAAAGAAGACAAGTTTTCCACTGCCAGATACTGCTTGAGGGAAACCTTCTACTCAATTTAGTGCATGCGTTAGACAGTTTCGATCATGCCACTAAAAGCGTTTCTAGCTGCGTTGCAGCAGAGCAGTTTAGATTACTCGATGAGAGTATAAGAGACGAGCAACAGGGTGATGTGCCCATTTTCCCACAGATGGGGTAAAGTTGAGTACCATCGGCTCCCCGATTGCTGCTAGGGCGGTCGCGATGATCAACCGATAATCAATTTATCAGCTATGTTTCAACACGGTGCAATCGCATCGCTGGTACGCTTTTTGGTGGGAACCAAGTGTTGTAGGCGATAGTGGTGTCGATGATAATTTATTCACAGACGAACCCCGGTGTTGAACCGGGGGGAGCAACCTATAATACAATCGGGGGCTCCTTATATAGGTAGTAAGGCGGAGCTGACCCGTGCACAATCAGAATGTCCAGGAAATATGTGCAAGAAAGAGGATGCCGCGGCTTGGCGCGGCCCCTGGAAGATAGGTGCCACTCATTGGTGAGTGATTCGGCACTTAAATGTAAGCGATTGGGGAATATAGCCTATGGGGAATACCCGTAAGCTATTAGGATTATAGAATTGTGAGGTTGATGATACATAAATCATCAACACGCTCGCTCGAGTCCGCCCTCGCGACAATCGGAGAGCCGATGGTAGATTTTTCGCTTAATATGGCGTGCTTGCACAGAAGCTGAAATGCGGTAAAATTTGCGCGTCAACAAATAGTTTCGACTGTGACGCTGGCCAACTGCGCGCGCCAAATGCCGGCAATATTAGCGTGGCTATTTATTCACGGGCAAATTTCACTGCATTTCACCTTCTGTGCGAACACACATATTAAGCGGAAAATCTACTCAACTGTAGCATTAGTTATGTTTTCACTTCCTCACTCGTCAGTACATGAAACGAAGATTAAACAACGCAAAATTGGTAGACCAGGGTAAGCTGATATGATGACGCTCTGCCTAGCTGAAAGTATTGTGTCAAAACTGACGTAATAATTGCCTCGAACGAGATGAAGTTATCGAAGTCAAAACAAACTTAACTACCTACCACAGTACTTGGTCTTCAAATAACCTGATCTACAGCCCGCTCTAAGTCAATTTTCAAAAAACACACTGTTGTAAGAGCCAACTTCCCTTTTACAACAGACTCACTTTTTTGTAAGCGAGCTAAGTTCGTGCGGAGCTTGGGGAACATTGATCTAATTGGAAAAATGTCATCAGACAGGCGATCATTCGCAGAACAAAAGCACATGTTTTCTTTGCGATTCGTCTACGAAAAAGCATGGTTTACCCTAGCGTCAATTGTTTTCCTATGAAAGTTATGGGGCGTGCGCAATCAATCGACAGGATTTCCGCGCGGAAGCACATTTGTGCCGGTCACGGGGCGCGCTCTTCGCAGCCATTCGTATAACTATAGGTATTACAAGCCATTTTATTCTTGTTCTTGTAACCCTCTCCAAACTTGGAACTTTCACAAACATAAGAGCAAGCAAGATACAAGAATGAGATAAAAACGAGCAAAAATCACTATGAAAATTGGGAAGAAGTCAAAAAATGTTATTCCGCGCCGAAACCGCATGCGGGCGGCTGCAGCGCATGCAGCACAGTCCTGGCACAGTTCCAGCACAGTGAACTGTGCTGAAACTGTCCGGAACTTCGGGATCAGTATGAACTCAGCCTAGAGACACTCCCGCGACGCACAAGCAACGCTCAGTTTACCGTTTTTGAAACTTCTAAGAAGTGGATGTTGCATCACCAAATTTTTGAAGTTTCGCAAGCGTATGAGTTTACTACCACTAAATTTCAATCGGGAGGGCCGCGAGGCGGCAAATTTGTGGCAAGCGTATTGCACACGTCCGCGACATCCACGGTTACTGTATTCATGGCTTCGGCCTACCTCGCTCGAAAGCACTCAAAGGCGCCCAAAAGCGCCCAAATTTCTCGAACGTCTCTTCACTTTCTCGTGTGAGGAGAGATAGAGAAAGTGAAGAGAGATCAGAGAAAATTGGGCGCTTTTCAGCGAAGTCTGGCACGGCCTGAGGAGCTTGTTGTTACTTTTTATGCATTTTGTTTCCTCCTCCTTTGAGCATAGATTATTAAGCGTACAGGTAGATTCATAAAAATATCTGGAGAGCGGTCTTATAAAGACTGATGACGGATTAACAACACAACGAATGCAGTCAATGTCAAACTCCTGACATAAGAATCGCATGCTAATGTTGGTCAGGTCTGTAAGCACACAATAAAAGAAGTTTTTATCTCCTTGGGACAGGTTCCCTAGATATTTGAGGGATCGCCACGAGGGTTTGCCCCGCGAGAGATTCGTCAGGCCCCTCCTTCGCACAGCAGGCGTGCAGTTGGCGTGCTCGCACTCTGGTTTTCGCACGCCGCCTCGAAGCTTCCCATTGTCAGCTGGCTGCGCTATCCGAACATCCGTTTTATCTTTTATGAATTTGGTATTCTCGTGAATACTTCCCATTATACCTTCTCTCGCGCCAAAAGCGTGAAATTTGAGTGGAGGAAAGGATTCTGTTTAGTTTAAAGATTCGAACCCCGTGTAATAGCCATTAAGTGTATCCGCGCTTTCGCGTTGTAATGTTCTCGATTGAACTCCCACGCGATGAGTCACTTCATTCACAGAATGTTTCGAAATTCGACTGGTACACGTTAACTACAGGTGAGAATAATCACGTGTGTAACATAACATCTATTGCAATCCGCCTACTCTTCCAAGCAGTGGTATCAACGGCAGAGTACTCGATTTGTCGAGTTTGTGGATTGTTCCTTTGATATCTCGTTCTTTTTTTGGATTGCTTTTCTTATTTGCTTTTGTTTCACGGTAGGTAAGGTTTTTGTTGGACTTTTATCTGTTCTTACACTCACCTGGTGTCAGCTTCACTAAATGAGTACATTTATATCACTTATCAGTGATTGATAAATACTGACATCTGCAGAAGAACTTGCTTTCGTGCTTTGATTTATCAGCAAGTTTTTCATTTCCTCTTTGATGCCTTATAACACTCAAAATGGAAGAGAATTGCTGTTTGCTGATAAGTTCTTGTCGTCAGCACAATGGGATACTGTACATAGATAATAGCTTCGCGCTTTTTCGCTTTGGTTCCGGAGTTGCGAGTGTAAATGATCGAACATTTGATCTGTTCTATGGTCACATCACAGAGATTTATGACTTCACTCCAAAAAACATGCGTTGCTCAGATGGTAAATAGCCTCCTGTTTATGTCTGGCTTACTAAAAACTCTATTATTGTTGACTCTTGAGCCGATTCGTGCTTCCTGGTGTTGGGATAGCAAGTGCTCGGCGAAGTTTCGTGGAACTCTCGTTCGCAAAAGCAGGTGGGGTCTATCGCGACAACAAGTTGCCGCTCTTCATTTTGCTATAGCTGTCCAATTACGAGTGTATGTCCAATTAAATGTGTCTTCATAGTACTATGTATTGCTGCTCGATTCCGGCATTGTTAGCAGGTTCTTTACCCTTTACTCATATAACATTTACCAAGTTTTTTGATTAGTATCATACGTTCGGCAGCTTGTCGCCAGTTATCTCTCTTCTTCGCAGTCTTATCTGCTTTTCTAAAAATGTCCTTTGAATGTTGCGTCTTCACTCTTCTTGCGTTGGAGTTAATACAATGCTTCAACATTCTTGATTTGTTCACTCGAGGTTGTGTTCTGTATTTCGAACTTGATTTTGAGAATGGTCTTCAAATAAGTATGCTCCGATTGTGATATCTTTGTTTTCACAAAATGTAAAAGGAGCTAATTATTTCATATTTTTATCTCTTTCGCAAACAGCCGATCCGAAACTTTTGTAATGCATCTTATCCCCACCGTGTCGCGATATTCTATTTGGTTGATTTGTGCTAAATATTGTAGGACTGAACATGAGCGCCAAGAAGTGTGCTCGTGAAGAGTGTGGGAAGACCGTTTATCCTTTAGAAGAGCTCAAGTGTTTAGATAAGGTTTCTAGTTGCGTCTTTTTTCTCATAACCTTACATCTGATATAACGTTCTCTCAGGTTTGGCACAAACAATGTTTCAAGTGCACTGTATGTGGAATGACCTTGAACATGAAGAACTATAAAGGTTATGATAAAATGCCGTACTGTGAACCGTGAGTTTCTTTTTGGTTCTTAAGTCGAAGTGGACGAAGTTATTCCAGACATTACCCAAAAACAGTCGCCTCCGTGGTCACAGATACCCCTGAAATGCGACGGGTTGCAGAAAATACGAAAAATCAAAGCCAGGTAAGTTTTTTTGTCATCAGACAAAACTTTCTCGCTTGCCTGTGAACAGTGAGCACTTACGGCCAAATAACAAGTTTTCTCGTCTGATTTCAAAAGGATTATTCCGCATTTTGCGTTTCCAACACTTTTTATCAACTCTATTGCACTATAGGTTCTGTTCTCATTGTACGCATAGTAAACCTTCAAGTGCTATAGCAAATTCTCGCAACGCGCTGTTTTCTGATCAGTTCGAAGAAATAGCGCACATCCCACGGCTTACAACACCCAGCTGTTACAGCGCGTTATCGCTTTGGGCAACTTTAGCCAGCCGCTGCGATGACAAAGGCCGCTGTGCAGCGAGATTGGCATAAAATTCTCGTACACAATGCATTGATGAAAGTGTGAAGCAGCTAAATGAAGTGTTTGTTAGGTGCAGTCTAGCCAGGTCTTAATGGATAGGGCAGGGGAGTAATCGGCAAATACTTGGTTATTATATCTCGAATTTGTATCTCAAAATTTCGCTCTTTTTTCTAGTCTTGTAGCTATCAGTACCTTCGCTGGATCTTGGTCCATCCTATTGGAAAGTTAGAAAAAGTAATGTATCCAAAGCCTTATTTTGCCGGTATGGTATCATCATATTAGCTATGAAATCTTGTTTCGCATCTCTCCCAGGTGCATGGATAGTACGCTTCCCGCTTATTCCATTGGGGAGCGGTGATCAATAAGACGTACCCAATTTATTCTCTTGTTAGCTGCCACTTGTCGCTTATTGTTGTACCTTGTTCACATCTCTTGGGTTATGTCATTTTGCCGATCATTATCATATTGCTTGTGTTTTTCTGTTCAATATTGGTGTTTAGGTGCAATATCATGCTGCTTACGAGAAATCGAAAGGCACAAAAATCGAAGTTGCTGATGATCCCGAAATGGAGCGACACCGAAAGAATATGCAGGTGATTATCAATGTAATTGTAAAATTTCTGGTTATTAGAGAATGCCTTTAGTATGAAAATTTTTCGATGAGCAATAGCCTTCAATGTGTCAAGTCTAATGATAGCAGAAGTGGGACGAAGTCATCGGTCGCAGTGCCTTTGTTTTTTTCCTTCTTCTTTGCATCCGCGTAATGATGCGTCTTAGTGAATTAGAAATGAATTCGTTTCAATAAGCTATGGCCATCATACTCGAGGTAGCACACTTGATTGTAGACTTAATTGCAAAAAAAAAGAGCACGAATCAAACGTTTCGACGTAATTGCGGTAGTAATCAACTGCCACACAAAGGTGATTTGTTTAGGCACAGTCACAGGTTGCTTATACTGGTGAGCTAGATAAGCGGAAGAAGATGGAAGAAGTGCGCCCAAATTTTGTACAAGCTGAGGATTCCGGTAAGTGCAGCGCTTCTTATATCACTCTTGTTTAACCAGTGTATGCCCTACCCTACCTACATCGTCTAATCGCTATCAGTTGACATATACTTCTTTTCTTCATCACTCGTCAGTACTACTTAAGTCGGTGTGACTCTAGTATGTTGCTACTAAGTTCCTTTCTTCTTACCGGGTGAAAACGTAAAGGTTTCGAGTAGGCATCAATGGTCTCATATGTTTAGGCGAAGCAAAGCCACCACCAGTTGAAGCAAGTGAAACTGAGCCCGCGCCTAAGCCTACATCTCCTAATCCTGCATCAACTAAACCTGCATCTGCTAAATCTACAACTAAGACTACTTCTACAACAAAGAAAGTAAAGAAATGACTTTGTCCGTTTCGACCGTTCTCCTAACTCGCTTTTTTCGCTGCTTTTTCTTGTTAGCCTCAATATCTTGTAATTACACGTGTAGTCGTTTAGTTGGCTTCCTATTATCGCTTTACCATTCGGTTCACAAAGTGCTCTAGTCAATTTTCATATGCTGTCATATGCGCATTTATTGACGAACATTTGCTCATGATTTATTCGGTGCTCAAATTGCCACGTTGCGCGCTCATAAAGTGTTCTGTCATGTGAAGTGTTATACATGAAATGTCAACTGAAAACAGGGACAACGAATTATTGAGGATGTGATTGAAAATGAATTAGGGAGAGTTTAGCTCCGTTCAATAGTTTACAATAATTTTTCATTTTTATCACGAGTATTTTTGAGCTACAGCGTTTGAGCAGCAACGTGGTGCTTTGACATCGAACACATCTATTCAATCAGCAGCATCAGCCATTCCCCACCCCCTTTCATCACGGTATTTGAGTGGTACATTCCATCAAATCGATTTCATCACTAAGTCAATCAGAAAGGGATGCAGAACACATATCTTGCGTCATACTGTGCGACAAAACCTACTTAAAACCACATCTTGTGACTGGTACTGCCTGAGTGCGGTATACCAAAAATCCAATTGTTTCCTCAGCAAACATTATAGCGTCGCAGAGCAGACGAGCGGTTTTTATGAATCAGCGACTGCTTCGCTTGTTGCTTTTTGCACCTGTCATGCGTCATCGAAGCTGGAACCCATATATCGACTAATGGCATTAAATGGAGCATCTAGGGAGAAGAGGGGGTTCTGAGAATTTCATAAAAATCAACCCCTCTCCCTTTAACTAAGCGGTTTCCTCAGTGCGAAGCCGCGATATCACCTCTAAGGCCTAAGGCATATCTCGCGCGATTCGGCCAAATCGCGATTCACGCGATCTGGCAGTTTGCCAGATTTCTCCAAATTCATCGTGCGCGGTCCTTCAATACATAGGCGCGTAGCTTCTGTAATTTGTTGCAAACGGATCAATTCCTGCCTTAACAAAGCGTTCTGATGACCAGTTATGAGTAGTCGTTCCGGTACCAAATCGCGCAGCGACTGGAATCGCTTTAGGTATGCCTTAGGCCTAAGGCTCAAGGCATACTTCACGCGATTTGGCCAAATCGCCACTCACGCGACTTGGCGATTTGCCAGATCTCTACAAATTTATGGTAGGTGCTAGAGTAAGCGAATATTTTGTTCAGCTTCGTTCAGCTGCAAAAGTAGCACAGAATTACTGTCTGCTGCTTAGGCTGCGTTCAGACTGATTTCAAAATCCGAGAACAATTTCAGCCCAGCGCTCATTTCAAGCGCTGTGCTGGAACTGTTCCCGGACTTCGGGATCAGTATGAACGCAGCCTTAATGTCTAGGCCTGCTTCAGCTGCAGGTCCCGCGCAGATTTAGCGTTAATTCTGCGCGCCGGGTAGGGGAACGAAAGCCGCCAGGGCCGCCTCCGTGGACTGCTGGTCCTGGGACGACGTGCAACAACACTGCGAAAAGACCAGTTGGCCGCGAAAGGCGGCTCAAACTGGCGGCTTTCGTTCCCCTACCCCTGCGCGCCTTTTCAGCTGAACGAAGCTGAACAAAATATTCGCTTACTCTGGCACCTACCTATCGTGCGCGCTTCGCATAGGCGGGTAGCTTGTGTAAGTTGTTGCAATTGGATTAAGTTCTAACTAAAGGAAACACATTAACGACGAATTACAAAGAGTCGATGTTGTGCCAAATCGCGCAGCGACAGGAATCGCGCAAATGCCTTAGGTCTAAGGCATACCTCACGCGATTTGGCCAAATCGCCACTTTCACGCGACTTGGTGATTTGCCAGATTTCTACAAATCTGGCGTACGTGCTTCTCGAATGCATAGGCGGGTAGCTTGTGTAAGTTGTTGCAAATGGGTCAAGTTCTGACCAAAGGAAACGTATTAACGACGAGTTACAGAGAGAAGCTGTTGTACCAAATCGCGCAGCGACAGGAATCGCGCGAGGTATGCCTTAGGCCTTATGCCTGATACGAATCCACATTGCTCTGGTCAACCAGGTTCCGCTTTTCCGGCAAAATTTCTCTCTCTGCCGTATTGAGTTGCTCTAATTAACTTGTTGGGGCCCTTTTGAAGTGGCTGAAAACCATGGATACCTTCTTTCTTACCTTTTACCGCAGCGCTGTGAAGTTTCTTCGAGACGGTAGAGCAATTCTTAGGTCGCCGATGTGTTGGATGCTGCCTGTAAAGAAACTGATCACTCATCCACCTATATGGGGGATGTAAAGCGCGGAGGTAGTATTGCTAATGCTTTCAATAGTCACTCAGGTGCCTTCATACCGTGCCGGCAGCCGCCGCTAGCCGCTTGCGCGCCCTATCTCAGTAACAGGGGGCCCCTGAGTCGCATAAATCTTGTTCAAACATGGTTTAGCATGGTTATTCGACATGATGTCCACAAATAGAATAATTTTTTTAACGTTTTGGAGGGGCCTTGGAATACTGGAATAGTGCGTAAGATCGGCTATAGGCGGCTGTCGGCGCGGTGTGAAGGCGCCCTCATAATTTCCCAGCTTAGAATTTGCGCCTGCATGATCTGAAATTAGTGTGCTGCTCTACTTATGCTGTCAAATTCTGCAAGTACCATTGTCGCAAGCTTGTGGAGTAGTGTTGTCCCAAGCATAATACAGAATCAAATTGCGGTGTTTTGCACTTGCGCGCAGTCCTTATTCAACCACTTTGAAACTAGTTCGATCTCCAAGAGCTTGCTGCACTACGCATTATGCATGGGCGTTTTTGTTCGCCTATTATCGGGCTGTATTTGCCACTCATCATCAGCCTCTAAATTATGATTTTGATGCTTGCAGAATTCTGAGCCCAACAAGTTTTAGTGAAATTCGAAAAACCGCATCTGATTTGTTGATTGAAATGAGACAAGTCGGGTGGTTGCGCGCACCCGTATTATCGCGCTGGCACGCAATCCCCGTCGCCATGTGAATGTTGAATGTCTGAAGACTAGCCGTTTGCCTATAGCTGCTATCCTGTTTCTCAGAATTTGTCAGATCACAATCGGATTTTCTTCTTTGCTTCCGCGTGAGACTTGAACAAAATTGAGTGAAGTTTTCAATGCAAATTCATTTTGTCAACGTTCTTTTTTCCTTGCGTTATACTAGAATTTCATAAGAGGAGTGTAAATTATTTGAGATTAAGAGGAAGCAAAAATTTTTCGAAGAGAAACTAAGAAAACAAAGAAGTCTCTAGACTGCTTACATTGGTGGTCGTCACATGCGGTTGCGACGCGTAGGAGGCGTGCCGGGGACGATGAAAAAGAAATGCTTCTTCCAAGAAGTGGATGTAAACCTACGCCTTTGTGGCATGCGCTTGTGCTAGATCTAGCTGAGAAATAGAATTTATGTTCCTCTTCATAGATTGTTGCGTGTTAGCTTTATTTCCGAGTTCTGAAGACTCGTTTCGGCTTCATTTCGCAACAGTTTGCATCAGTCAGATCGCAGAATATTTTGAGATGGTTCAACTGTGCCGCGCTATCGAGACTGAGCTACATTCTTGACTCTCCTTTTCTCTGACAGAACGCGAAGTTGTAGCCGAAAGTTTTGAAATCCACGTTGAAAAGAGAGAACAGGATCCAAAGAGTTTCCACTGTAAACGTATTGAACACTAAGCACATTGTAGTATAAGCTGCGTATTCCATTTTCTCTATGTCAGTGATCCCCAGATTTTTTCAAGGTTAGCTGTCTTTCCATGTCAGAATTGTGATTCCGAGTCGCACTGGCGTTCAGCAAGGAACACATAATTATGGTTCCTTTGTTATATTACTGATAGCATGTCTGCTTCTCAACTGCCAAACGTTCTGCGAAAGGAGCCGCGGCCTGGGTTCACCGGCGACCTTTCGATTATGCATCATTACTGCTGCAAAAATATGTTTTGAGACTCAATCATCATGACTTATAATAAGCGGCTTAATCTGAAGTTGTGTGGAGTTTGTCCGTTACGAAATTACAGTGAGGAATGATTTACGATACTAAACATCATGTGAGGTTAAGATAGCGAGTATGGTTCATTTTTAACTACGGCTCACGTTGCAATAAACCGAACAATGACTTGAGAGGCAAGCTTTCAGAAAGTGAGTTTACCACGATTCACGATGCCAGTGCGAACCTCTGCGAAGCAGAGGTGAAGCACTAGTCAAAATATACTATCGTTATTCACCATTCAAGATGGTTTTCAGGTAAAATCAGAAAATTTGCAAAGAAAAGCGAAAGCGTTGGGTATCCGGATTTGAATCCAGTACCTCGTGGCTAACAGTCGATTGGTCTTCCACATTATTAGCGTTTCTGTCAGAGATGCATCATTACTCAGATTCATCTGTAGACGGGGCAAAATATGTAGAACCAGGGGTCTACAACTTCTACAGAATCGTTTCTGTAAAGCAAATATGTTATCCATGTCCCCGGGACCTCAATGATTACATCTCCTTCCCTTGTAAGGTTTTCGGTAGAACAGATAAAATATTGAAGTGATATGTTTTTTGATGAGCGCTGGTAAAAGGAGTTTGTCGAAACTTAAACCTTATTACTCTGAATACTTTTCTGAACCAGATAGTACGCACAATTTTGTGAAGATTTTTTGCTTCGGAGAAATACGTTCAGCGTGTGAATCACGGGAGGGAGGGAAAATTAGACAAAAGAACCTAGTTCAGAGAAAGCTACGCTTTTCAATATGTTCGTAAAAAACATAGTAGGATAAATTGAAGATGGATAGGCACGTTGAATTTAGATCTTTGGAACACCGGGATATGAAGTTTTATTCTCAAGCTCCCATCTCCAGCGTCATGTACATGGCGGCCTACGTCTTCAATCCATATTTCCAGATTTCGATTCTTCCTTACTAATAATTCTGTGCAGGGCACTGCTTATTGTAGTCGTTTTCTGTGTATCTTCGTCTAACTAGCTAGTTAGATTAGACTGGTAAATAGTATGCATGCGCTTCTTCTTGCAGGACTTGGCAGGGTTGTTTGCTCTCCTCTACCAAACAATGATCTTATCAATTCGAACATCGGAGTGCCTAATGCTTCACCGCTTGGAAATCTGTCGACGTTAGTCTACTCATCAGATAATCTCACCGCAGGCATGTGAATTTATTGTGTGCTATGTTTATCTTCGTGTTAACAGAATGTGTTCGCATGTAGTAGCGCTGTTCTTTGTATGATGTATAGATATGCTTGCACTCATCGAAGTGTGATCATTACTCCATGAAATTTCTATACACTGTGTCTTTTTGGTTGCAGCAGCAATTATAAGTTTCAGCGCAACAGCCACATCAACAGCGAGTCGTAGGCAGCATCGCAGACTATGACCCGCTGAATGGAAGGTGGGGTACTGTGGCTAAGTCCCAAAACAGTGACAAAATCAGTAAGTTTATATAGTGAATCACAAAAAAATGTTCAGTTGGTTAGCTCCTTTTTTCGGCAAGGTCGTTTGAGACACGGGGACTAGACATTGTAGCAGGCTGCGGTAGGGCAAGTCTCAGTGCAGGTTGCAAATATGCGTGCTAGAAAATGCGGAATCACCGACATATTTCCCGTCACCGGAGATTGAGAACATATGAGAGGCAGTGGCGAGGTTGATCGAGAAGGTCGGTGAGACTGCTGTCATTGTTCACCAATACGCCGATAGAACTTTCTCAGTTTTCTTTCCACTGTCAAACGCTTTTCTTTCCTGTTGTTAGTAGTAGTCAAACAATTGCGATTTTGAGAAATGCGCGGGTGGTCTCGAATCGTTTGATAAGTGTGATATAGTAGGCGCCAGATTAGCCGATTAGCTTCAGCAGGACGCGGTGCAACTAGTAAATTGATGTCTTTGGCATCATGTTGGGTGGGAAGTGGCGTCTGCAATGTTCGCAACAACAGTAGGTTTGGAGAGATGATGAAGAAGCCTTGCAGTATGAGAGAATGATGAAAAGGCCTTACCAGTGAAAAATTCTTGTTGTAGCGAAATCGCGAACGCCGACTTGATTTTCGTTCAACGTGACATCAGATGACAGTAGATACGCCGCTAGGTTAGGCACGCGCCGTACTTGATCCGCTTGATCCGCTTCGTCATTGGTTAATTCAGTGAACTGACCAGTAGTGAAGTGGATGAAGTGGATTAAGCGAATCAAGTTGATTACCGCTTCGCTATTGGTCCACTGAACTGACCAATGACGAAGCGGATCAAGTGAATCAAGTGGATTAAGCGGATCAAGTATGACGCGTGCATTAGGTAGGTTGCAGATTAAGCGATTGCCTGCTGCAGCAGAACGCTGCGCAACTAGTAAAGTGATGTCATTTGACGTCACATTGGACGGAAGTCGTAGTGGCTTCTGCGTTGTTCGCAACACTATAGTTCTGGTGAGATGTAAAAAACTCGCAGAATGAGAAAATGATAAAAAGGCTTTACCACCAGAAAATTTTGTCGTAGAGAGATCGCGGACACCGACTTGATTATCTTCCAACGTGACAGCGGATAACAGTGACTACGCCGCATCCTGCTGAAGCAGGACAATCGGTTAGTCTGGCGCCTATCTTAGTCTGGCGCTTACCTAGCATTCTCCAGGATCCCATACGAACCATCAACGTGGCTTCTTTCGATCACGTCAACATGTCAGCTTCGAGTAAGTGCCTTATATCTGCTGGAGTTAACTTGTTAAAACGATCGAGCAGCCACGTCGATGTCTCATATGGGGACAATTTTGGGGGATGCACGATACATATCGTCTGTTCCCCACACTATAGCGGGCGGAGCTTTGCCGACGTTGCCAACATATCCGCGTGGCAGTTTCTAATACCGAAGTGTACAAAAGCTAATGCTCTAAAATGGAGGTTTAACAAGTTTTCCAATGTGTTAAAATGTCTGCAGGGCCACGCCAGCTATACATATGGGAATCGCCTATATCTGCGTTCACAGTTTTCATCCAACGTGACGCCAAATGACATAAGGTTCCCGCCAGAGTGCCGAAGTTATGCCAGCGCTACGCCAGCATTTCGATCGATACACGTGTATTTCGTTGGGGCGGGGCTAGCTGACGTCCCCAACGAAATACACGTGTATCGATCGAAATGCTGGCGTAGCGCTGGCATAACTTCGGCACTCTGGCGGGAGCCTAACTGCTCCGCCTTCTGCTGGAGCAGGACGATGGGCTAGTCTGGCGCGTTTCTATACTTTGGGGCCCTAGGGCGTTGCGTGGGCAATGTGCGCAGCCAATACTGTCCTCACGATCTGGCAAGGCCCTAAACCATACCGTCAATGGGTGTATGGGCTTTCAGGCCAGACTGTATAATTTAGGGCCTTGCCAGACACAACGCCATAGTGTTGAGAATGTTTGGCTGAGCCTCGGAAGCGATGTTAGGTGGGCGTACGAACGCAGTCAAGTAAACTCACATTACCTTCAGGCAATGGTATAGGTCTGTCGATTACCTAAGCTTTGTTTCCGAGTTGATCTAAATATCTACTCAGTACGTCCATGAGCAAAAATAACTACTACCTGTTACCGAATCTTTGCACTTTGCGTGTATTCATTTGCCGCTTGCCAGTGGAGTTTAGCCGTATTTTCGCTGGCTGGGCGTGCAATCACGTCCTCTTATAATTTACGAAAAGTCGCAAGTAGAGTATCACCATTGAAGTGGCGTCGTTGCTTTTGCAAATAGTTCTTATTATCATTCTGTTTCTTTAAAGAAGGGTACTCGTTATACGATCAGTGTGGAAGTTCAAATTGTAAACTTCGACAGATATTCTGAGTCAGTTGTTGTCGTACTTCCATGTGCAGGCTGTTTAGCTAGATTTTGAGTGGATCCCTTCGTCGTTGTGCGGATCTCTCCCCCTCAAAATTTCTTTGTAGCGGTTTAGGGCTAGAAAACCTACAGTATCGATTTTGCAGAGGAACTCGGCAATCGCACCGTCGGTGGCGTTCCGAAGGCAGCGGTATCGCCAAGTGGAGCTGCCGGGTTTGCAGTGAAGGCAATTTACGATTACACCGCTGCTGACAAGGATGAAGTGAGTTTCGCCATACTCTCCCATATTTCGAGTTCATACGATCGCATCGCTTTTGTTACAAAACATTTCTTTTCTTACAAGTTTGTTGACCGTTAAACTCCCGCTTAGGTTTCGTTCATGGAAGGAGACGTGATAGTGAACTGTGAGAAGGTCGACGACGGCTGGATGACTGGTACTGTGCAGCGCACTTTACAATGGGGAATGCTTCCAGCAAACTACGTACAACCTTATAAACTGCCGACTGGACTTGGAAGGATCAAGTAGTTTTGCCTGGGTCCTCGTCTGTTCTACCGTAGAACTTTCTTTTTCATGTTCCACTAGTCTGCATCATAAGAACGGCAATCTGTCGTAGAGGGATTGCACTAATTTTTGGATTTCCAGTTGATGGTTTTGTTCATCATCTGCCATGTAGTCTCGAGCATGCTTCCAGTAGAAGCATTGCATAAGTTTTTCATATGTTTGGTGTAGTTTTCTCGTTCAGTTTCTTTCTTTCAGACATATTTCATCAGATATCTATCTTTGCATCTTTCGCAGCTACTGTTATTGTTTCTAGTGCTTTATATATTCACCCGAACTATTGTTGGGTAATGTGCTCACAATGCATATTCGCAAATTTGTTAAAGCTTCGCATGGTTTTGTAAATATGAGAGCCGCATATTTTATTTATCGGGTTTGTTAATTATCCATATAAGTATTTTTCCATCAGTCTTGAGGTGCTTTGTTCCATGGCGATTCTGAGCGCAATAGTCTTCGTTGATCATGTTTTTGAATGTGATGCGCCCGCTTTGTGCCTCTTCTTTGAGTTTTTGCATATTTGTATTTATGATTGAGAGTGAAACCATGCTTAACCTTTGATTGGTAAACTTGTTCTCAAGTCTCAAGTTATATTGGATTTCCATTAATTACTTTGATCCCACCACCAGTATTGTAAAGGATGTTTGTGGGTTTTCAGTGAAACACATAAAAGTCATTCGCCTTCAGTAAACGGTTCAGCAAACGCTTTCATGGCTTCATTTGATGATGAGGAGCGCCGTGCGAAGTATGCGGTTGCACCAAAGTCGGCTAATCATGGGAAGGTAGTGTGAATATATCTAATACCATTCATCCGAGACTAGAAGACTCGAGCAGCTTCGCACACTTTCAAATAAGCTTAGCCTTGTGGTACGGTTGTTCTCGTATTCTATCTCACTTAAAATCATTTACCGCTAGGAGCTTTAGACAATGTATACAATGTGTACTCGTCTGGTAGTTTCGAAACAAGCAATAATTGTTGTGACAAAATTTTTTTGATGTGTTGATCAGAGCTGGTTGATGCTCAAAAGTGAAGTCCAAGTGCCTGACCAGTAAATGACGGGGCATGAGTTTGCTAAGTATATCTTCGTTAATGACCAAGCGTCCGTTTCCCGAGGTGTTTATTACAAAACACTGATCAAGAAACAAGCTGTTGTTTTGAAAACAGGAAGCAGCGGTCTACGGATCTTGATGTCCACATTCTTACCTTTTGTTTTGACTAGAAGTGACTGGGTCTTGTGTAGGTCTTGAAACTTGCAAGGGAAGGATACCGACATTAGTCCGCAATCGAAGATGAGATGTATATCAGTAGACGCGCCTTTGAACGCTAATTCCAAATCTGCTTTCCTTTTTTGCGGAATGAGTTTCCGAAAGAAGTTGTGGGCGTCCAAATGTCCAAATTTGTCAAGGGTTTAGATGGCCTAAAATCGATACAAAATCATTTTTGTATCGAGTATATTGTTTGCAAGGAAGGAATAATGCCGGTGGAAATCGCATAGATGTTGTTTTAGAGGTTTTCGCTGGTTTAAAGCCACTCAGCTTGGCAAATCTGGACATTCAAACGCTCATAACTTCTTTCGGAAACTTATTCCGCAAAAAAAGGAAGGCAGATTTGGAATTAGCGTACAAAGGCGCATCTAATGATATACATCTCATCTTCAATCGCCAACTAATGTTGGTATCCTTCCCTTGTTAGCTACAGCCGGCAGAGGGATCGTGCTAGACATTTTCCGTTAGGTGCACCTTTCTTGCTCTGCAAACGATCTATCTGAGTTCTAGTTTTAATATAAATGTTGAAAACGAGTGAAGCCTCATGGGTGGTGTGGAGGCTGGTCTTTATGGTATTAGGTTCCTTTTCTCGTATTGTGAAAGAGTTCATTTACTATTGGCTCCAAAGGCACGGTCACCTACGGATCTATTAAATTTGTGGAGGCTGCTCGTCTTCTAATGCTGAATCCGTTCTGAAAACAAATTAGCGTAGTTCTTGATAACGGTATTAGAAAAAGTATCAATGTGTCAAATGATAATGCAGTATATATGGCATACAATATCATAATAGCATTTTACTTCGGAATAGGAGAACATTCATCTGTGTTCTTTTCGATTTTCGAGCAGATTTGCTACAGGAATTTTGCCCAACTTTTGAGCGCAGAACAATGAAAATTCTTCAGGTTTAAGCTTCATGAACGCTAAATAACTTATCTGAGTAATTTTTCTCACGTGAGTACCGATCGTCACAGTGTCAAAATTGCAAACTCAATAACAGTCACACATTTTCCATTTTAACTTTCCAGGGATCATTTGCAATTGGATGTTTATAACAATGGTCAATACCGCATGATTTTAGGTAGTCAAACTCTCACCGAAACAATTACGAACAAATCGGGAAGTGCGCACAGTATTACCTGAGGAGCAGTATCTAGAAAAGCTAGAGAAAATAATTGTCAGGGATTATTTTCCAGACCTTCCAAAGCTCAAGGTATGCGTAGCACTAGCATATGTGAACAACTTCGCAGCCGTTTTTCTGCAGGCTCAAACAGAATATATGGATGCTATGAAACGCAATGATGTTGCAAAAATGCGTGAATTACAACTGCGTTATCATACCGGTCGTCGGACTGATAGAAGGTATGCTTCTTTTCTCGTTTTCCATGACAGTTATATCCAGCCTCTAGATAATTTTGACGATGACGATGCTATATGAGGAGATTATCAAGGAAAAAAACGCATAAGTGGATCGTTTAAAAAAGAAAAATTTACAGAACAAGTCCTGCAGCAGGTGTCGCAACATCACCACGGCGAGCTCCAACCTCACCGGTCAACTTCGATCCTGATACCCCAGGCCCAAGCAGACCTCCCGAGTCAGTTGCAGCCACGCCATTGCCTTATGCAAATCGCGAAGGAGATAACGAAGTACGGAGTACTTGTATTTGAACCTCACCATTTTCGTTGGTATAATTTAGTATTTAAAGGAGGATTCAAAGAAACCGAAGTCAGAATTAGATGGAATATCTGTGGATGCCTACTTGAACAAGTTTACATCAGAGGATAATGCTTCATTTGAAGAGTTAGCTGCAGTGGAATTAGCAAAGGAACGTGCGAAAAAAGGATGGATTGACGAGGCAGAGAAAAAGCACAACGCTGAGCAGGTAATCTTTTTCTATATGCTTGACAGTTTCTTGGAGATAGACTCTTGGTCACAACGCAGTCGATGTTACAGGTTACCTATGGCGCACTCCCAGCATCTGCTGATCTACAACTTGCCATAAAATACGATCCAGAAGTTGACAAAGGCATGTTTGATTTGATAAATGTTCGAAGTGACCTGCACTCCAATGCTTGCTATAGAAAAGCCGAAGGAGGTTGACAACTGGACTTATACTGCTCGGAACTCCGTTCTGTTCCATTTGGAAGGTGCACCGCTTACGGCAGAAGAGCGAATTGAACAAGCGCGGAGAAACCAGAGGGTTATCAATAAGACAGCCACTCGTTTCCCACAGGATGTCAAGATCAAACCGTCCGAGGTAAAGCAGTCTTCTTAGCTGATGCTATAACTTGAGTTGACTCACAGCTATTGTTTTTGTCAAACCTAATTGAACTAGCTGGTTGATTAGGTTTTGATCTTAGCATGTTGTACAGATAGTCCCAAAAGAACTTTTACTGAACGATTAGTATTTTCCAAGTGTTTAGATCGAATTGTGAGTTTCGATCTTATGTGTTGGATTAATGATTTAAGGCATCGATGGCACGTGCAAGCATGATGCAACTCGCAAACAATGCTGGAAAAGTGGATGTACTAGGGCATGAAATTGGACTAAATAGCAAGACTTTAGGTCTTGTTGCTACACCAAGTCCCGCGCCCGGTAAGCAAATTATCAGCAAACTCGCGGAAATCATAATACTTACCTCATTCCAGGCGTTGATGATTCCCCTTTGATGACATGGGGAGAAATTGATGGAACACCATTTCGTTTGGACGCAGCTGACGTACAGGTTCCCATAGGGAACGCGCCCACATTCAAGGTTGGTATTGCTATTTCGTAACTTATAAGTTTTCTTCCATATAATTCCATAGACATGTTCACCTCGCAGTTGAATGTCAGTCTCTGACGCGTGCTGTGCTAACAAGGGAAGCATATCGTGGTGACCGTGGCCTTTTGCAGTGAGATGTATAAGTATTTGCGCCTCGAAGCGCTGATACCAAACCTATGTTCATTATCTGCTGTGCAATCTCTAAACGAAGTCATGGCCATTTTCCCATATCAATTTCACGAATAGGCAGCTAGAATCTTTGTATCTGTATCCAGGCTTTTTAGACTCTGATATAACGGAGACAGATTTCCTAAGCTTCTAAAGCTTTGTTATTTGGATGCTCATTTGTAGCGCGTAAGTAAAATTCTAACTATTGGTGAATCCTGTCGTCGAAAAGTGTAAATGTTGGTGGCAAGATTTGTTCATATCTTTCTTCAGAAGAGCGCACAGCAGATACCGAAAGCAGATGTGGTACCAGCTCTTCAACTTGCATATAATGGTATACGTATCATTTTGAAGGCCACGGTACCAAGGATCCTTTCCTTGTAAGAAAAGGCTGTCAAGAACATCTACGCTCATTTTGTGTATAGAAGTACACTACAACTGAAAACCTCGTTGTTTTGGCCTATCAAGATTTCGATCATTTGGCAGATGCCTGAAATACCGTTTCGAGAACAAGTTGCTCAAGGAATCAGTGACACAATAGCTAAGCGCTACAGAGATAAGCGAAAGGCTGCAATGAAAGCCGCTGAAAAAGCTCAGTAAGTTGCTGCCATCCGAAACCTGTACCTACATTTGAGCTAACCAAAGTTTGTTTACAGCAGAACGCCTCGTTTTGGTTCGGCCCGCTCGTCAGCATTGTCCATGGCAACATTGTCACCCGCTGCTCGTCGGTTGGCGTCAAACAAGCTCGGTATCCGTTTGCCCTCCTCAGCACAACATTTACGTTCAGTCACTCCTCTGAGGTAAGTGTTATACGATTTACAGTTTCTTTGAAGCTATGATCTTTTTTAAGGCCGAACAGTTCTCGACTGACTCCGAAAATCGTTTCGCCAGCTGCCACGCCTTCAAAACGACCATCTGCAACCCCAGCTAAGGACAAGTCGATATCTTCTATTACTGATAACCTCATGCCCATATCCTCAGACGATAGTGGTGGATCGCAGGAGGGTCGCTGCCGTGCTGGTGATTTCTTCTGAGTACCACCTATTTCTACCAGTCGAACGGTAAAAAATGGGACGACTTGGTTTTTATTATCAGGTTGTAACGAACGTTCCTTGGCACTTGCGAAATTTTTTTCAAACTGCCGTAACTTCAAGCAGACCGATCCTTTTTGAGAGTTGCAAACTTTGCTGCAAAGGCAGTGTTGCCTACAAGGTACCCTATTCTGTTGGGTCCTCATTCATCTCTGGCCACTAACATGCGTAGTGGAGAAAAAATCGATTCAGAGTTGGGCCTGTTAGTGCAGGAATTTCTCAGGCCCAAAGAGGGCTGGAAAACTCTCATATCCGTTAGTTATGTAGCTGCTGGGCTGTTTATAGACTACGTCGCAATTTTAGAGAACAGCCTGTGAGATGTTTTTTCAAAAAAATTGAAAAATCGACAATTTTTGCGCCCTGAAAATGCCCCATTTTTTGAGTGAATGAGTTTAAAGTCCTTTTTTTCCCATGGAATGAATCAAGTTTTTGGTTGCTGCAAATTGTTGGTGTAATGTCTTGCACATCTTTTGGGCCCATCACGAATGCGTGACGATCTTCACAAGATCAACGCCAACTGCGAAAACATGCACGGTCAATGCAAGTTTGAGAGCTTGTAATTCTTGTGCGCGTATTGTAAAATCAGAGCACAGCTGCGCTTTGAAGTGGAAAGCCTCCTCATTCGCACTGACCAACCCTTAAGTGGTTTTCTTTGTTTATTAAAAAAATGGCAACAAAAAGAAAAATTGTGAATTTTTCGGCGTGGCATAGAAATTGTCGTTAAAGTGTAAGCGAATACGAAAAAAATGAGTCTAAAATGAAATTTCCAAAACTGCCCGGGAACTTTCGTCACACCTAATATATTCTGGGATTTCTTGTTTTGTCAATAATAATAAGGCTGCAACTTAAACGTCGTTTACATAAGCGAGCTTCGCCTATTATTCTGTTGAAGGGTTACCGGTTCTTTCTCACAGCCCTCACCATGGCGCAAAAATTCACAGGGTTTTTTAAACATCTCTCAGTTTTGCGCTGCTGTACCGTAAAGACATGTAGCAAAAGACAAACCATTCAGAAGAGCTCTTCATGCTCTCTCGAACGGTGTATTAGTTATCTTAGTTATGAGAAGTTCTTCCTTAAATCCGGAGAAAAAGGAAAAAGCTTATAAAATTGCGATTTTGTGGCGCAATAAAAAACCAAAAATCATGTTTCAACTTATATTTTCCGAAGATGAATGATAGTTGTGATAAACTGTATGTGGATGGAAAGAGCGTAAAGAGTTCTATCACCTAGTGGCCAGAGAACGTACTTTTACTTGCAAAAATAACGCGTATCTTTCTTGAAACTGCTAATGGGCATATCCCTGATTTTGAGCGTTAAAGCCAGCATGTATCGTGGGCTTGGTACTGTCCTCTACTCATTGAAGAGGTGACACTCTGGATCGTCTCACGTGTTTCACTGCGCTGATACTGCTCAAAGTTCATGAATTATCAAAGTGACTGACTTTGCATTTTAGCAAGTACTAAAATTATTAGGTTTGTAAATGACTTTATATAGGTATTGCCTAAAAGAGAATGATATAGTTTAAAACATCTATCAAATTTGAGAGTCTAATCACTTCTCTTTCTTGAAAAACCCACAGTTATTTCTAAGTGTCCCATTTCTTTCGTTCACGCTAAAATTGTTGCTCCCTGTGATTCGTCCCATGATTCATTTGTTACACTTTTCGTCTTTTTCACTTGTTATTACGAGTTTTACTAGTGGGGACTGTTTTTTACGCCTTTTGATTACATCCAACCTGCGCTTCTGTTATTAGTCTTCTTTTCAGCTTTTGAGAATCACTGCAGACATGTGGTCTATTTATCATTGACATATATACGCTGTATGACATATATATGCAAATAAAGTTTCCATTCGGCTTTTACGGATGGATGTGACTGCACAAACTGTCAATTTCCCACAGTCATGTTGACGTAGCATACTGTATTCTGCTGATTTTGTGGCTCTCTGCATTGAAAAGATAGAGCATAGTAGACTGTTGGCGTGGGTAAAATACATCTCATCGAAAGGGCTCTTCGACCAAACATGGATCGCTTGTTAGGTAGGCGCCAGACTAACCGACTGTTTTGTTCAGTTGCAAAAGGCGCACAGAAGTGGAGTTTTGCGATTTCGCAACAGCTCTGGCAGTGTGCCAAGCACGCGAATGGGGCGGGGCTTGTTTACAAGCGCATGCATGGCACTTTTGGAGCCATTCCGGTCTTTCGTCAGCTAAGGATAGGCATGCCGATGCTCTTCTACTCTGTGTGGTGAAAGAAAAATGGATGACCTTGGTGCCAGATGCAGACGAACAGGATCCTAGGTATTTAGTTACAGTTTGGTGTAAGAACGATCAAGTTGATCGCCAGCTATTGTGAGTGCAGTGTTTCGCAATGGGGTCATCAGTGTGGACGACGAGCACAAAAGCAGCTTTGCTTATGCTTCGTGGAAAGCTTAATATCGCTAACGGGTTTCTTATTTAGGTAAGGCGGTTCAGCTCGCAGGTCTTGTCATTTTCCCAGCTCAGACTTTCATGTAATTGTGTCTGCACGTGTCCCATTCTCTTCATTCTCCCATCTGTTCAAGATAGTGATCATACTACCTATCTTTACCGTGCTGAGTGCTACTTTGCGTGAGATCAGTTTCTTTGGGCAGCTGTTGTTCTTCTAATCTACCGTGCGGTGTTGCTAACCAGAAAGTGGACACATTGAGGAAACTGATGCGGAGTCCTAATTATTAGGTTGTTACGTAAGTCTTGTTACACTTTACTTCTTATGGCGATAACTCACGCACCTCCACGTTACCCTCGGGCTCTAACTCTTTCCGCTGTTGTGTTGCGAAAGTGCAAAACATAGGTTTTGCCGTAGTTCATCGGGAGATCCGGTACGCGGCAAACGTTGAGGGATACGTTAGCCGTGGAGCGCGAAAGCGCAATCATTGGCCGTAGTTGGCAAGACAGCTAAAGTTGGCCCAGTTTTCACATATTTTTGTTCTCTAACATCGTTTTGATGTTTCTTGGTCGATAAAATCTCATTTTCGTCATTTCTAAGCCAAATTCGTGCGTGATAACTTTTGATTTGAATTTATGGAAGGAAGTGCTTCGAAGATCTTTCATCTTTTTTGTTCAATCTAGTGAGAACAGAAATTTGAAGAATGTGGACTTCATATTTCCCATGATTAGCTTCAAAGAAAGATGTCGGGTTTGCATTTTCGATGCGTGCAACAGATGGTTGCAATGTTTATCATTTTCAACAGTTCCGCTGACTTGAAAAATCTAGTTATCTTGAATTTTGTGAGCATGTGCGCTCTCTTTCGAACTGCTTTTTCTGTTGAACTTCAAGTACAGCTTTAATTAGTATGCGGAAGTAGATACCATAGGAATGTTGCCTTGAATATTTTCGCGTTTGCTTCCTAATACTGATGCTGAAATCTTGCTGAAATGTGAAGTCTAGTCTGTTCAAACGAAACCAACTTGTTTGGGGATTGGGCGCTATTCGGCTATCCGGGCCCCAAAATTTTTTAGTCATGGATTTCGCTCAAACTCGCCCAGGGGGGTTATCTGACATGCTGACCACGAATATCACATTTTCTCCGCAGGAAAACGCCTCCCTGTAGGGTTACGGTAGCTATGCCGTAGGGGGTCAAAATCGTAGATTTCGCTCAAAATCGGTGTAGGTGGGTTATTCGGCCCACTAATGCTGGATATCACATTGGTTTTGTACCGTAGCATCATTTTCTGGGGTTACGGTGGGTATACGGTAGGGGGCCAAAATCTCAAAATCCGCTGTAACTTCGCACAGAGGGGTTATGCGACATGCTGATTAGAAATGTCACACTTTCTCCACACGAAAACGTCTCCCTGCATGGTTACGGTAGGGGTCAGAACCACAAATCGGCAAATGTATCTTTCCCCTGCGCTTTGCTTAGGCAAAAGCCGCGGCAGGGTGTGTAGCGCGCGGCGGTGGTTGGGTGTGCAAAGCTTCACGGTTGTCCGAATGGCCGTACACGCGTTTCAGGCAGAACTGTGTTTTGCACCCGTTACCGTGTAACTACCGTAACTCGAGAAAATGACGCTACGGTTCAGAACCAATGTGACATATGGCATCAGCGGGCCGAATAACCCCCTAGGCCAAGTTACAGCAAAATCCGTGGTTTTGGCCTCCTACCGTATACCCACCGTAACCGCACAGGAAGGCGTCCTCACGCGGAAAAAACGTTATATTCGTGATTAGCGTGTCAGACAACCCCCGAGCCAAGTTTCAGCGAAATCTACGACTTTGACCCCTTACGGTATACCTACCGTAACCCCGCAGGGAGGCGTTTTCCTGCGGAGAAAATGTGATATTCGTGTCAGATAACCCCCCCCCCCTGGGCCAAGTTTCAGCCAAATCCATGACTAAAAAATTTTGGGGCCCGGATAGCCGAATAGGCCGGGGATTGTCTGCCATTTGTAGAAATCTAAATATCTGCATTGACTTTTCGCATAAATTGCTAGTGTTTTGTTGAACATAATAACCCTTAGTCCGTTCATCCTTGAGTGTAGAACTGCTAAACTTTCGAAACTTTACAGAAACGCATAGGAATTCTATTTTTAGTGCCAGTGTCGAAATATTCTCCTAACTGTGAATTTGCAAGCCGTATCTATCCCTTTGTGGGCAGCCATCATGAACAACCACAGAACGTAAACAACAACAGCAAAGGCAACGTAAGTACATTGAAAGAGTCACTCGATTGCATCTGGCTTCTCAAAATTTTTCCAAAGAAAGACAACTTTGGAACAAATGCTCGTTTTTGTTTTTTCCCTCCGAATCAGGCAAAAATCTACATGGGGAAATCCCTTCGAGGTACACGTGAAAAATCTCTCCCCCCCCCCCGGCCAACTTTAGCTGTCTTGCCAACTACGGCCAATGATTGCACTGGCGCGCTCCACGGCTAACGTATCCCTCAACGTTTGCCGCGTACCGGATCTCGTTTATCGGAGGCTAAATTAACGTTAATTCTGCGCTCAATTGCCTGTTTCAGCTGCAGGTCCCGCGCAGAATTAACGTTAACTCTGTGCGCCTTTCGTAGCTGAACAATCATTCGCTTAGTCTGGCGCCTACTTACGTTAGTTACGTGGTACCACTGGTTAGAATTCGATCATTCTGAACTATAAAGTGACGATACAACGGAAGTGTCACGAAATAGGTAACAGTCGTGTCTTTTTTCAACGGACTATGCGCGGTTCCGTACTTATGCTGATCAGTTTTGTTTATCTTTCGAGACATTTTGTAAAGTAAATAGATATCGGTAGAAATTCTATTTACGATCTTCCAGCTGGAACTGCCATTCGACCTCATTAGTATTCTTATCTCATACTTTACGATTGTTCACATATCTCAGTTACTGAGTTGCATAGCAAAATATTTCCTGCTGGTAATTCGGGGAAAGGCATGCACTCCGATCTGGTGCATTTCAAGGTTGTTCAGATTATTGAATCTTCACATTAAGTTCTCTTTTAGTTCGTTATGAATGATTGCTTAGAAATACATGTCGCGTGAGAATTATGTCCCAGCTTTCATTAATGAAGATGGATTTTCCATTTTGTTATTCATGACTGAGGTTTCTTAACTAATACTTGTTTTTGATGTTTTCCTTATTGAATTCTATGTCGTCGGATCGTTTTGATGTTTACACGACTGAATATTAACTGGAAGAATAACGGCTATAAAGCCACCCCGCCCGGACCCAGTCATGTAGTGAAGGATATTTGGGTACTTGTTAAGGGCAACGAGACTCGCCGCACGCATTGAAGGGGCCGTCCACCCAAATTCTCGACTTTTCCATGTTTTTATCGCTTTTCGGCCTTCCGAAGGCCCTTATTTCGAATATAGAGTCCAGAATCCTCGAAACCCCCAAAACTCCGTTTTAGGGAAGGGTGCAATGCAGATCGCAGGGGCTTTCTCAGCAGTTATGTTCTTGTCATCTTTCTTCCCACATTGAGTTGTCGTGCTTTTATCGTTCGTATTTTCTTGTTCGCTTCATCTCCTCTAGATGTCTCTCATTTGACGTACTGTGCTCAATATTTTTTGTGTTAAACAGCATTATTTGTAATATTTAGAAAAATCAATGAGCGAGATTTCCATCTCGAGTCATGACGTTGACGTGCTTGAGAAGCGTTTCACTTGCTGGAACAGTTTGCCGATGGAACTGAAAGTTAAAGTCGTTCGGAATCTGCCGTACCCAACACTGAGGAACTTCATGTTTCTTAGCAAGGAGTGCATGGAAATTGCGTTATTGCTAAAAGCTTCAGTGCATGCAGTCTTCCTTTTGGATGCGGAGTACGGGATGGATGACGAGGACGGTGTGAGCAAGACAATCCAGTAGGATGTATACATGCTAACTTTGATACCTCTCTTGTATCTATGTCTCATACTCACTCAAAATACGATGACCGCCTCTGACTTAAGCATACAGTATGGAGTGAGTGGTAGTATGGAGTGATTCACCGACTGCTCCTCACTACATTGTAATCACCTTACACAACCCACGGGAATTTCTGACGGACAAAAGGCAGCAGTTTCAAAGGACTTGTTTACGGGAACGGAATTTACCTACCCAGAGAGGTATGCCGCCATGTAATTAGCAGGGGCATGAGAGGTCGTGAATTGTCAGCAACTTTAATTTGCACCTAGTTTGCACGAAGACAAGCATATTTTGCTCACGACAGATGCGACATACAGTGTACGAGACCGGGGTTTCATTGAAATCTGAATTCAAAGTTCAATAGTGAAATCAGTCCAACTAGGGTAAAAATTTTGGGGATAATCTGCCATGCTGTTTCCAGATATGATGGTGATTTTGCGTAAAAATGAAACCGAGCATCGTGATGGGATTAAAATCAATATTAAGTGGCGATATTTGGCAAATCAGAATGAAAACTTGGATTTGGGTGTTTCTAAGAACGCACTTTACGAATATGATAACGGTTCAATACGTGTATATCATTTTTTCTTGTCTTGCTGAAGGTAGCATTCTTTTTTTTAGTTTTCCAGTTTTACCAGAGTTGCAGTGAAATTTATGAAAAAGTCGAATTTCAAAAAAAAGTTTTCGAAGTTTTCGGTGGAAGCATTAGCATAATCGAAAACAATCATGGAAAACTCTCAAATGACAGTTCTAAGCTTTTTGCCAGAAAATTTTCAAAACAAGTTTAAGATTCCAAAAGAAAATTTTTTATATTTGGAACCAGCATGGTAGATTACCCTTAAATACAAACTTTTACCCTAGTTGGACTAATTTCGCTACTGAAGTTAGAATTCAAATTTCAATGAAATCCCGGTTTCGCACACTGTGGGATGATGTCGTATCTGTCGTGAGCAAAATCTGCTTGTCTTCGGTGATTGGGTGCAAATTAGCATTGCTGACAGTTTATGACCTCTCATGTTCCCTGCTAATTACCCTTTGCTTCAACCAGATCGACTACTGGAAGAGGGGACCGTGACCTAGGAGGCGACTGCTCGCATCGGCAACACCGTCTGTGCCTCCCTCGCCAACATGCTTTCCGATCATGTTCTAACCTTGGTTAGGTCACGGAGACCCGCCCTCCAGCGCGGAGGGCGTGCAGGATCCTCCCGAGCCTCACACCTCAAAGGGATGCCGCCTTCCAGTTTTGCACGTAGGTGACCCGAGGCGCAAATTGACCTGTAACGTGTTCAGACAAGTATAACGCGCGCTTGACACTGAGCAAGGTATAGGAGCTATGGGATCGTTCAGACCGCGCCGGAACTCGCCCAAATCCGCCCGAATACGTCCGAACACGCTTGACTGCCAAACCCAGCAGGTTGCATGCAAATTGGCATATTGGAGCACGCGTGCGATTGATCCTTCTAATATCGGAGTAGTTACAAAAGAAGATCGGTATGTAACGTCGAGCTATGTGTGATAAAATATATGCCACTACGCGCGCAGTATTCCACACGTGCTCTAATATGCCAATTTGCCGCATATCCGCTGCGCGGCGTTCAGGCGGGTTCGGGCGGATTTGGACGTATTCGGGCGGGTTCGGACGGATTGCGGCGCTGTCTGAACGATCCCTATGAATGGAGTTCAAATGAAGGCATAGGTGAACAAAAGACTTAGGCTTTGGCCATTCGCGCAAAAGCCCCCAACTTCTCTGACCTCCCTTCACTCTCTCTCATCCCTCACACGAGAAAGTGAAGAGACACCAGAGAAATTTGAGCGCTTTTGAGCGCTTTTGAGCGAAATCTGGCCAGGCCCTTATTCCTTATGAGAAGCACTAAAGGCTCACTAAGCTGCGGCAGAGAAGAAGAGCGAGACGAGATCTTCCAGGTCATTCTATATCTCAAGTTACTTTGTCTCATTGATGTCAGATAATTTGTCTGAATCGTAAGTCTCAAAACAATTCAGACCTATTGAGAGTTTTAATCGCAAGCTCACTGCTTCTTTATCTTATTGTTAGATCTTTCTTATATATAAAGCTGAATGTCTGTTTGTCTGTATGTCTGTCTGTATGTATGTGTGTACGTATGTTCCGAATAGAAAATTCCATTTCTGAACCGATCCGGATCAAACTTGGCACACATACACTTCGGGTCCCGGCGGGTGTCATAGGCTACTTTTCGTCATCGATCAATATCGATTTTATCGATTTTTATCGATTTTTTTGCTGAGTTCACCTACGGGGCTGGGAGTTGGCACAGGGGGGTAATCGAGCATGGGGATTCCGAATACAATATTGGTTTTCAGGATTATCGATTACTTTTATCGATTTTATCGATTTTTTCGCAAAGTTTGAGCTACGGGGCTGGGAGTTCGCACAGGGGGGTAATCGAGCACGGGGATTCCGAATACAATATTGGTTTTCAGGATTATCGATTACTTTTATCGATTTTATCGATTTTTTTGCAAAGTTTGAGCTACGGGGCTGGGAGTTCGCACAGGGGGGTAATCGAGCATGGGGATTCCGAATACAATAGTGGTTTTCGGGATTATCGATTACTTTTATCGATTTTATCGATTTTTTTGCAAAGTTTGAGCTACGGGGCTGGGAGCTGGCACAGGGGGGTAATCGAGCATGCTGATCATCCCCAAGGGGGGTGATCAGCATGCTCGATTACACCCCTGTGCCAAATTCCAGCCCCCTAGCTCAAATTTTCAAAAAATTGATAAAATCGATAAAAGTAATGGACGATCTTGAAAACTAATATTGTATTCGTAATCTGCATGCTCGATTACCCCCTGTGCAAACTCCCAGCCCCGCAGGTCAAACTTTCAAAAAAATCGATAAAATCGATAAAAGTAATGGACGATCCTGAAAACTAATATTGTGTTCGTAATCAGCATGCTCGATTACCCCCCTGTGCAAAATCCCAGCCTCGCATGTCAAAATTTACAAAAAATCGATAAAATCAATAAAAGTAATCGATAATTCTGAAAACTAATATTGTATTCGGAATCCCCATGCTCACTTCCCCCCTGTGCCAACTCCTAGCCCTGTAGGTGAACTCTGCAAAAAAATCGATAAAAATTGGTAAAATCGACATCGATCGATAACGAAAAGTGGACTGTGACACCCGCCGGGGCCCGAAGTGTATGTGTGCCAAGTTTGGTCCGGATACGGCGGAGCCGGGTAAGCCAGCTAGTAGCCTACATAGAGGAAACTATGGAACATCTTCCACAGTTTGACGTCTTCTTATGTTAAATCGAGAAGACTAAGCGTCTAGACTAGCTCCTACTATTGAAAATCATGGTGAACTTGCGCTTTATATGTCGAAATACCTTACCTGAAATCTATCTTCACCTAGTTTAGTTCCCTTTTAGTTCCCAAACGACACCTGGGAGCAAACCTTACCTGCTCAAAACCTATTGCCAGAGGTTTTATTTCGGCAAGTTCTACCTGTAACCGATACTCAAACCTTTTACTAAGCAGACAAGCCAAAAGAAACATTGAAGATTCGCGGATCACTTATCTGGGTGATTTGAGGCCCAAAGATTAACCTAGGTATGTAAGAATGACTAAATGAAATTATGTGACTAGAGATGTGTATTCAATGCATAAAGTTCTCCAAGCCTCTAACTTTCATATCCTGCTGTTCGATTCAGCAACATAGGTACCTATTCTTCGGGTTTCGGTAAACCACTGCAAGTTCGTTATCGATTGATAAAGACGCTCAATTCTTCTCAGTTTTCACACAGCGAGTACGGAACTGTGTAGTTGGTATTACATGTTCGTACTTGTTAACCGTAAGCTCTGCGATCTATTCAATGGGTGGTCGCCTACGTGCATTTAACAAAGGCGGCAAGCCTTGGGAGGATGATGACACGCCGCCTATCTGGTTGAAGTAAAGGGTACATGGCGGCATGCCTCTCCAAGTAGATGATTCCCGCACCCGGTTTTTCCAGATTGATACCTGTAGTAGATTGGTATCAGTTTGGGCTCATAGTTGTTTCGTTGGCATAAAAATTCGAGCACTACTGGGAAATTATAGAGTCAATACAGAAATTTAGTCTTTTTGTTACCTTCATCGAGACAAGATTCAGCTTCAATACTTTTCAACCGCGCAAAAATCACCGCAGATCTCCTTGCCTTTACATTTATAAAAGTATTCGGTAATTCGCTTTGTGTTTTTTCTAAGTGCAAGTGAGCCCTCTGATAGGTAAATATATTTATAGTAAAGAGCGAGAGACAATGAGACACTAGAGAAATCAACGACCGAGCTATGTAACATACATACTTCTGGAACATTGTACGGTAGTTCATGCGCGAGATTTTGGCTTCAGGTGAGAGGAGTACGCTCTTTTGCAAAAATCGTCGTGAACGACAGGCCGCACGGATCATCTGACGCGGATAGTGAGAGCTATACTATCGGATTTGCCGGTAGGAGCTGCATAGCGCGCAGGTGAAGATCTACTAAACTAACGACGAAAAAATTGACAAATAAGTTTGGAGGATAAAAAAAGAAGGGCAGAATGTGGGAGGACTAGAATATCCTATGGAGTCGTGCTACGCTGTCTCGATGCGTGTGCTATTTCAAATTACGAAGTATCTGAAACCGGAGATCGTAGGTTTGGAATTGGTAAGTCTATAACGTATTTTATCCATGCACCAGTATGATGAAAAAAATTTTAGGTAAACATTAGAGATGTCAAAGGTGCCTTGAGGAAGCTACCATCCACATCATCGCTCACATGTGAAGCGCTTACTGTACGCTCGACTGATCTCTCTTTTCTTCCGATGCTTATGCCTCATGTAACTCCCGGATGCCAATTACGATTTCAATGCGATCCATTCTCATTCGGAGTTCTTTCTAATAATGTGAATTCCGAAGTTTTCGACTTTGAAGTGGTAAATTCAATTTTGACTTGTCTTCCTTTATTTTATGAAATTTCTTCCCTTCAGGTAAAGGCTGCTCCCTTCATCGATATCGATGTTAACTGCGATATCAGTGACGAGCAACTGGTTCATCTGAGAGCATCCGAGCTTCGTGTGACATGGAGAGCGCCCGGAATTTCGGAAAAGGGACTTAACGGCCTGATATTGGTACGATTTTCTGAGCAGTTATATAGTTAGGGAGCTTCTTAATGTACCTTGTGAGAAGTTTTGTCACCGCGGTTGTCAGCTGAGATTCAGGCGGCCTGCTCGCATCTGTGGCAGGGCATATACTGTCCCAAGTTTATACTTTTTCAGCAATGGATGGAAGGGAGGCGAAAAATAGTCAGGATCTGCATTACGACGAAAACGTTCAACTACGACATGATCTTTGAGAATGTTGACAAAACCAAAGTTCAGTCTAATTCTCTTGAACTTCTGCAAATGTAAGTTGTTCAAATCCTGTAGAAGTTAGCCAGTTGATGAGAGAACGGCTTCGACGACTAACAGGATTTTCATTGAAGAAATTTTCATGCAATTTTATAAACACTCCTAAGTCGTCAACTTGCAATGCTTCAGTCCTTTTTTCGACAAATACGTGGAATCATACCCTCGATACGAGCGTCTTGCCTTGCTTCGCAACGGATTGGGTGATCGGCTACTTGTGAACATAAGCTTCAACTTTTGCGAGATAGTGGACCCTTATTCAGAGTACATGTCACGATATCGTTAGTTTCGCATCATTTCAAATAACCTCGTTCTATAATCCATAACTACTACTCTTATGCGCGATTTATAGTTTAGGTTGTTGTTGACATTTAAAAGCAAGGTAGTGTATCGAATCTTGATTACTATTTCAACTGATGAAAGTACAATAGCGCGTTTTCAAGAATGAAAGAAGCAATTTTCTGCGGAGTCTGCGATTTTTGCGGCGCATCCCCTTTTAGTTCAAAGCGGACAGATTCGCTATTCAAAGGAGGTACCATTCAATTCGACTGATGGAACGCATCTCCTGATAAGTAGAATTGCCGCTTTGGCTAAGGCAGATATACGCTGTATGTAATACGCAATTCCTGTCAAGCTTCGCGAAAATTGCCTCACATATCACAAGATGCGCCTCATTGTGCTTGTTGCATTGTGCCGCAGAGTTCAGAATTCGTTTAGTCTGAACCGGGAAATGGCGATGCGAAGCAAATTTTACGAACGCGGTGACAATCGCGCCATCCTTCGAACTATGAGCGCTATCGTACTTAGACTGATCAATTTCGTTGTTCGCCATTCGAGCCATTCTGTAAAGTAATTCGATCTTGATATAATTTTACTCACAATTTTGCCACCTCAAATTGCTATTCGACCTCGGTATGCTGCTTATCTAATACTTTACGGTTTTTCGCATATCTCAGTTATTGATGGTTGCGCATTATCAGGTTCTTCAAACTTTGGATCCAGATCTAGTTCTGGATTTTGCTTCTAATTTTCTACATGAGAGTTATGCCCCAGTTTATTTTTTCTGCATAAACGTGAATTTTTCACTTTGTTGTTCATTACTGAGGTCTTTCTTGCCTGGCATCTATTCTTCATGTTTTCATTAATAAATTTTATGTCATGGGATCATTTTTTTTGAAAATAAGACGGTAGGTAAACTAGACCATTAGCGGTTATAAAGCCACATAATGGAGCCTGTACGCAATCATGTCATAACGAAGGATATCAATCATTGTGTACTTGTTGGTGGCAACGAGACTGATTGTATCCTGCCCGGCCGTTGAAAATATTTATCATTGTTGTACATAAAAAGGGCATAGTATTCTGGAGAAAGGAGAGTTATGGGGAGGGGAAGAGATGAGAAAGAGTATAAGAATTTGTCGCTTGTTTCCCAGTCTTCTTTACTTGAGGGTCTTGACTTTGCCATCATTTTGTTTCTCAGGGAGGGCATGGGCGAGTATACAATGGAAATTCTATTTTATCAAAAGTTGTTTTGGTTTCAGTTAGTACGCTACGCAGCCTCTCCATTGGCCGTATTCATCGACGAACCCAGTGGGTTCCGCTACCCAGTGGGTAAGCGAAAACAGTGCCATTGGGTTGGATCGATATTCATAAAAAGCACTGCTGCTTTCGCGAACCCACTAGCTTCGTGAATACCGATCTTGTGAGTTAAGCCTACCCAATGGGTTCCGGAACCCATTGGGTTCGTTGATGAATACGGTCACAGCTGTTTGTATCCCTCATTTGCGTCGCGAGTCCCTGCCTTATTTTCACTCTTCTTTTTTTGGAAGTTGTTCCCGGACGAAGGGGACGGCCGGCGGCGTGTCATCATCCTCCCAAGGCTTGCCGCCTTTGTTAAATGCACGTAGGCGACCACCCATTGAATAGATCGCAGAGCTTACGGTTAACAAGTACGAACATGTAATACCAACTACACAGTTCCGTACTCGCTGTGTGAAAACTGAGAAGAATTGAGCGTCTTTATCAATCGATAACGAACTTGCAGTGGTTTACCGAAACCCGAAGAATAGGTACCTATGTTGCTGAATCGAACAGCAGGATATGAAAGTTAGAGGCTTGGAGAACTTTATGCATTGAATACACATCTCTAGTCACATAATTTCATTTAGTCATTCTTACATACCTAGGTTAATCTTTGGGCCTCAAATCACCCAGATAAGTGATCCGCGAATCTTCAATGTTTCTTTTGGCTTGTCTGCTTAGTAAAAGGTTTGAGTATCGGTTACAGGTAGAACTTGCCGAAATAAAACCTCTGGCAATAGGTTTTGAGCAGGTAAGGTTTGCTCCCAGGTGTCGTTTGGGAACTAAAAGGGAACTAAACTAGGTGAAGATAGATTTCAGGTAAGGTATTTCGACATATAAAGCGCAAGTTCACCATGATTTTCAATAGTAGGAGCTAGTCTAGACGCTTAGTCTTCTCGATTTAACATAAGAAGACGTCAAACTGTGGAAGATGTTCCATAGTTTCCTCTATGTAGGCTACTAGCTGGCTTACCCGGCTCCGCCGTATCCGGACCAAACTTGGCACACATACACTTCGGGCCCCGGCGGGTGTCACAGTCCACTTTTCGTTATCGATCGATGTCGATTTTACCAATTTTTATCGATTTTTTTGCAGAGTTCACCTACAGGGCTAGGAGTTGGCACAGGGGGGAAGTGAGCATGGGGATTCCGAATACAATATTAGTTTTCAGAATTATCGATTACTTTTATTGATTTTATCGATTTTTTGTAAATTTTGACATGCGAGGCTGGGATTTTGCACAGGGGGGTAATCGAGCATGCTGATTACGAACACAATATTAGTTTTCAAGATCGTCCATTACTTTTATCGATTTTATCAATTTTTTGAAAATTTGAGCTAGGGGGCTGGAATTTGGCACAGGGGTGTAATCGAGCATGCTGATCACCCCCCTTGGGGATGATCAGCATGCTCGATTACCCCCCTGTGCCAGCTCCCAGCCCCGTAGCTCAAACTTTGCAAAAAAATCGATAAAATCGATAAAAGTAATCGATAATCCCGAAAACCACTATTGTATTCGGAATCCCCATGCTCGATTACCCCCCTGTGCGAACTCCCAGCCCCGTAGCTCAAACTTTGCAAAAAAATCGATAAAATCGATAAAAGTAATCGATAATCCTGAAAACCAATATTGTATTCGGAATCCCCGTGCTCGATTACCCCCCTGTGCGAACTCCCAGCCCCGTAGCTCAAACTTTGCGAAAAAATCGATAAAATCGATAAAAGTAATCGATAATCCTGAAAACCAATATTGTATTCGGAATCCCCATGCTCGATTACCCCCCTGTGCCAACTCCCAGCCCCGTAGGTGAACTCAGCAAAAAAATCGATAAAAATCGATAAAATCGATATTGATCGATGACGAAAAGTAGCCTATGACACCCGCCGGGACCCGAAGTGTATGTGTGCCAAGTTTGATCCGGATCGGTTCAGAAATGGAATTTTCTATTCGGAACATACGTACACACATACATACAGACAGACATACAGACAAACAGACATTCAGCTTTATATATAAGAAAGATCTAACAATAAGATAAAGAAGCAGTGAGCTTGCGATTAAAACTCTCAATAGGTCTGAATTGTTTTGAGACTTACGATTCAGACAAATTATCTGACATCAATGAGACAAAGTAACTTGAGATATAGAATGACCTGGAAGATCTCGTCTCGCTCTTCTTCTCTGCCGCAGCTTAGTGAGCCTTTAGTGCTTCTCATAAGGAATAAGGGCCTGGCCAGATTTCGCTCAAAAGCGCTCAAAAGCGCTCAAATTTCTCTGGTGTCTCTTCACTTTCTCGTGTGAGGGATGAGAGAGAGTGAGGGGAGGTCAGAGATGTTGGGGGCTTTTGCGCGAATGGCCAAAGCCTAAGTCTTTTGTTCACCTATGCCTTCATTTGAACTCCATTCATAGGGATCGTTCAGACAGCGCCGCAATCCGTCCGAACCCGCCCGAATACGTCCAAATCCGCCCGAACCCGCCTGAACGCCGCGCAGCGGATATGCGGCAAATTGGCATATTAGAGCACGTGTGGAATACTGCGCGCGTAGTGGCATATATTTTATCACACATAGCTCGACGTTACATACCGATCTTCTTTTGTAACTACTCCGATATTAGAAGGATCAATCGCACGCGTGCTCCAATATGCCAATTTGCATGCAACCTGCTGGGTTTGGCAGTCAAGCGTGTTCGGACGTATTCGGGCGGATTTGGGCGAGTTCCGGCGCGGTCTGAACGATCCCATAGCTCCTATACCTTGCTCAGTGTCAAGCGCGCGTTATACTTGTCTGAACACGTTTAAACAGGTCAATTTGCGCCTCGGGTCACCTACGTGCAAAACTGGAAGGCGGCATCCCTTTGAGGTGTGAGGCTCGGGAGGATCCTGCACGCCCTCCGGGGACGGCCATATGAGGTGCACGCGAACGCAGCGTGCGGGCGGTTTCGACTATCTTTGCAACCCACTGTCTGAATGATGCCCTACCGTTGTGTTCCACCAGCTTCGCAAAATTAGAACGTACTCCTTCTTCCGGGATTAGAATTCAGCTTGCACAAAAATTTGCTGTCTAACACATCGTTATGAATCTCATGATTTTGTGTATCTCTTGTATGCCGTATTATCGTGGGTGTGAAGGAAAAAATACTCTGAATAAGTGCGGGAACGAAATTCAGGGATAGACATATTGAATTAGCTTTTCTACAAGAAAGCCTATAATTTAGGATCTGAGGCTATCATACTATGTAGGGTAAGAAGAATTTTTTTCGTGGACAAGTCTGGCAGTTGAGAAACCTTGGGAATCGGTGACGAGCGGTGCTTCGAATTGATAAGAGACCATGCTATGCGGCTGTCGTCATCTTGGAGATTATTGGTGAGTTCTAGTCAAGCCTTAGGTGGTGAACTATTGTTGCAAGGAAAAACATAGTTCTGTACACTTTTATCCCTACTGACCTTTTGAGTCGCTCATTATGAGTCTTTTTTAGTGATCTGGTCGCTTTTTCGCAAGATATGATGTGAAAGTGTAGAGAAATTGCGAAATTTCTTTGGTAAACTTTTTGTCTAAACAAATAGCAATGCACCTTAATGCCGGCCACTTGCGCGCGCAAACTGCCGGCATTGCTGGCGTGGCTATTGTCGACTCCCCAACTTTGGCGAGCCGGGATCGTGATCTTCACCGAAGATCGATGGATCAGGTATGCCTCAGCACAGGGTAACCGCAACGCAAGGCACGCTAGCGCAGCTCCGCCTCGCCAAAGTCGTGGAGCCGCTCATATATGTTCACTGCGGTCAGTGCGGCAGTATGAAACAACTCTTAAACATGCAATGGGTAAACAATATTCGTC